GGCCATATTACCTTTTGACTTTGCCAATCCGAGCAGAAATTCCGATTCACATGCCTAAAGAAACAGATCCGCAAGAAGGGGAGCACAATTGGTACCCATGGAGATGCCTTCTTCTTGCCTAAATGGCTTACCCTCACATTTAACATAGTTGTTATTAATGAGGAATTTCAGCATTTCACATAGTTTTTCTTCAGTTAACTTCAGATGGCATTTGCTTTATATATAGATACGTAACTGTATCTGCCGTCAACCCCATGGATCTAGGAATTAAGTTTGTCATGTGGGATAGTGGTGTACAAAGTTGAAAAATCAAATGTTGTGACAGAATGGAACTTGGTTCTTTTCTGAGATTCAAATCCTTTGAGTTCTTGAGAATCCACATGGTATTAATTTCACTTGTCTCAAATACTTTCTGTGAATATAAAAACAGTCTTTCCTGATTGTATTAAGGATTATGGTTAGTCTTTTTGCAGAACTCAGCGATATATCTCTCTTTGTACGATTTTTATGGAGCTTTGGAATCCAGTATAAAATAGGAATGGGTATGTCTTCAGGTTTTGGAGTCAAGTTAAAAGTTGATTATACTGATGCATGGTTTTGGCAGATTTCTTACTCATACTTAGCATACTCGCCTTATATCATGAGCATCGATCCATTGGGGTACGATGACATGCATCAAATCAAGTCAACGAGCCTGACCAGGCTATGCCGTTAGTCGCCTCTTACGACCGATGCTCATGATATCAAACATTGTATGTCTGGTCAAGACTCGGTTATTTACAGACCCATTGTTATTCTGTTATGAAGTACGAATCACGATTCAGCTAAACTGAAAATATTTGTGAACTTATTTTGTATTTATATTCTAATACCAAGTTAGATTATTTGCATTGTGAAGACAAAAATAACATACACCAATGGCAGATGACATCGTCTGGTTGTTGCGTTTACGTTAAGGCCCTTTAAGACTTATTGATACTGAACAACATCAATTAAACCTAGTGTGGTACTGTTAGTGCTGAAGCGTGACTGATTGATGCGAACTAAGCATTCACTGTGTAGAGTCGCTTTCAGAGATAAACATTTTTTATTTGAAATTTGTGTTGTTTTTTGTATCCACAATACGTTTTTTCCCGTTGTTTTCTGAATACGATCGGTCTAGCCTATTATTCCCAATGATTGCAGGGTAAAAATAAAGTCACTTAAAAAAGTAAAGAAAGTCTTACCGTCAATGACAAACACACTTCGTGGCTCATGTTTCGAGGGAACAAACGCTATTCATTCGCTTAAGTTAAAAAGCATTACAGCCTCGTACTGACCTATGAAAACTAGGATATACTCTGCAAAAACACCACGTAAAAGTGATTTTAGATGTAATAATAATAATAATAATAATAATAATAATAATAATAGTAATAATAAGTGCATTTATAATGTGCCAGATTCCATTCACCAAGTGGATGCTCATAGCGCTACACTATTATTACCCGGTCAATGGATCAGTGAGCAATCGATTTTCATTCTCGGCTCCCTGTGGAGTATACAAACCGAGCTGCCTGTGAGGCGCTAGAAGGTTAACAGCCACATTACCATCTCATCCTACCGGGTACCCACTCACTGCTGGGTGAACAGGGCACATTTCTTAAGGAGACATCACATGTGGTACACGTGCTTCAGTGTGGGGCAGGCCAGAAGCCCTAGAAACTGGCAGGATCTGGATGTTGTGATTCCTGACAAAAAACTATTGTCAATCCTGCCGCATGAGGTCGGGCGGTGTCTTGTTGGAAAATGAAGTTCGCTTGTTACATAATAGGAAGGAAGTGTGGCCGATAAATCTCATTCGTGTAACGTTGTGTCCTTAAATTCCCCAGAACTTGCACCACGTATGTTCTACCAGTGTATGGGATGGCCGCCCACATCATCACACTACCACCACCGGCAAATCTGTCCACTTCCGAATGCAGTTTCGAACATAACGTTCCCCGAGACGCGTGTAATCACGACGCCTACCATTCGCACAGCGAAGCATAGAAACGTGACTCGTCATCAAACGACCCGTGAAGATCCATGGTAGAATACAACCGGGATCGGGAGGTCAGGCTCGCTGACCAGACAAACCAGTGACTGATATCATGAGCATCGATCCACGCAATTGGGATACAATGACATGCATCAACCAAGTCAGCGAGCCTGAAAACCCGATCCCATTAGTCGCCTCTTACGACAAGCATAACCGCCTCTATAGTCTAACCCGAATCTTCACGGGGCTTTGTGACCACACTAAATGACTATGTTCACCTTAGGCAAACCTGTGTACATGTTTAAGTTCTAATGTTAACGATTTTTTTCCTTCTTCAAATACTAGTATTTGGACATACATTTTAGCAAGTGTTTGACCGAAACGGATTTTCTGAGGAGATTTAGATAAAAACCGTTCAACCACGTAGTAGAAAACGTATTGGGTCACTAGGCGCTCATACTTAGATTTTCTTATGAATTTTCAAAAATAGGTCTTTCTATTCATTTTTATCATACTTATGTGTTTTTATGTCAAAAGTCCAAAATGTGCAAATGTGAGAACGAAAACAGGCTGGTTGTCAACCATTTGAACATGTCAAATAATTTTCATATCAATATGTCAAACATGTCCGTGACTTTAACATTTGATATTTCAAGTGGCACAGAAGGACTCTTACCTAACCCCGTCCAAATTACTAAAGCGTTATTACATGTGTCATACTCACCGTGTATCACATTGGTTGTACAGATGGTCGCTTGGAGAAACCAAAAGATCACAGGCTCCATCTCTTTCTTCTTAACAACAACCACGATCAACACTGATGAGCGAGTAGTAACGGAATATATGATCGAATTCGCTCATGGAAACTGATTGGAAGACATTAAATATTTTATGTTCCATATGCGCAGAACAGACACAGTCAATGTAATTAACAATTTTCTGACCCGTGAAGTTCTGGAGTAGAATAGGTCACAAGCAACCCATGCTCGCCGACTATTCTTGTAAAAGGCGACTAACGGGATCGTGTGGTCAGGCTCGCGGACTTGGTTGACGCATGTCATCGTATCCCAATTTCAGACCTGAATGCTCGCAATAAGGTTAAAGCCACAAATACTTAATCTGTACCCGTCCTTTCATATTCTGTTGGTTTTGTTGATTGGAATCATAGTATAGATAATTCTAGATGTTAATTATTATTTTGATGTTGAAATAGCCATATGCTACATGAAACATGCAAAAGTAAGAAGCTTCCATTTAGAATAGCCTGATATACAATTTAGTTTCCAAACAAAATGTTGTATTATATTGTTGATAATTACTGGTTTCATAAACTACATGGTCCATGTGAAGACATGCCATGTTAGACAATCTGCCATATAGCATTTATTTTGTTACATTCACAGGTCTTCTCACCAGCTAATAAACATGGTACACATCTGCCATATCACGTTCACGTTGTTCCTACGAAACTTATTAAAATTATTAAATACTTACCATAAATAAGGAATATGCACAATTACCATGCGCAGACCTACTGAAGGCCAACCTTTTTTGCTCTGGGGATATGAGGGGTATGTTTCAGAAAACTTGGTGCCTGTCATAAGAAGCAAAATATCAGTTGTAAACAGTCCAGGTTGCGACTTCGTCTTCACAAGTATACGAGGCAAAGGGAAATGTAACAGCGATCATAGTTTTAGTAAGAAGTAAACGTAAACTCTCTCGTCTGAGACTTGGTCTTCACAAATACACACAGATGCAAATGTAACAGCGATAAGAAGTGTAAATGATCAAACATTTCTTATACTTTGAGGCTGAAGACCCTTTATGTGACAATTTACATGATCAAACAACAAATTGAAAGTTCAGCGATCAAATATTAATTTGCATCAATTTATCTATTTGACCTATTGGTCGAGAAAAGGATTTTATATTTTGCAAACATCTGCCACGTTAATATATAACTGCTTGTTTACGAAACACTTCTCACTCACCATAAACACACCAGAGTTCTTTCCTACTTGAAGGCGATGCGTATACCCATGAAAAATTATGCCCATCAACTCTTTCGATAAAACACGTTAGTCTATGTCATGGTTCAAATCGAAAGTATTTTATTTGCATTGGGGTTCAATTGATAGAATATCACATAAACGAACAATACACTTCTTGTCAGGATAGCAAATAACACATGATCTACAATTTCCCCATAATTATTCAGATAACACTACATATGTGAAAATATGGTATAAAACAGCAGCGACAAGGACCGTTTCATCATCATAAGGAATATCCATTGTACGATTTCGATTCTACCATTAGCATGTGTTTATGAACCTTTATCAATTAGTGATGACACCCGGTGTTCGTGAAACGGTGAGTGTAATAGTGCCCGCCCCATCGGTGGCACCCGTCACAAACCCATACACAGGCAAGTAATTTGTTCACCTAAAAACAGGGTAACATGTGGTACAAGTTAACATAGGGAATGTCTTCAAACAGTACATTCACTGATGCGTCAAATTTGGAAATGTCCTCCACATGCACACCATAATTTGTTTTGAAAGCCTTGAATGTTGTAACATTGATCAAACAGCCTTTGAGCAAGAGTCGTATGACGCTCTTCGTAGCTCGAATGTACCTCGAAGAAATTATCTAAATAAGTTGAGGTGAAATGGGGTTTAGCGTAGCATTTAAGACTGTTGCACCTATTTATGTTGTGCACGCACATGTGTGTGTGCTTGTACTATGCGACGTGTGTGTGTATGTGTGTGCTCTTGGACTTATGCCGGCTTTAAAATGCTAGCCCACCGAGATACCATGCCGCAGTTTAGAATGGATACCGTACTAATACACATTACACTGACTCTGATCCGACCAGTCCTTGTTTGATCCCCTTAGTACAGAATGACAGACAGCGTAACAACAAGTACAATCATTTTACGGCTTTTGTTATTATACAAACAAAATTCATTTGGATCAAAGTAGACCAGTCAATGATATTATGTACCAACACGTATAACATCATTCAAGAGGGTTCACTAAGTGTTTTTATCCTGAAAAACTGTAATACTTCCAATTAGCATCACTGACAGTATCACCAGATCTACCAACAAACAGTTGACAGGTCACACTACTAGATGACGCCAGTGTCTGAAAGGCGTCACAATCTATATCTTCCCGGCAGCGTTGGGCACATGCCAGTGTGGATTCCACCTGGACCTGGTGTAGTGGGGCTTCCGAGCGTTTTGTGTCAGCAGTCAATGTAAATTGCAGCCAGTGATCTATAGAAGGTGTAACAAAAGGAAATTCGGTTAACAAAAATGTTTTAAAAGCATAAAAGCAACATCTTGGTAAACTTGGCAAACACAATCATATTATAGATAGACCATTTAATAATTTGAGTGGGGTAGGCTTGGTGCGCGCGCGCGTGCGTGCGTGCGTGCGTGTGTGCGTGTGTGTGTGTGTGTGTGTGTGTGTGTGAGTGTGTGTGTGAGTGAGTGTGAGTGTGAGTGTGAGAGAGAGAGAGAGAGAGAGAGAGAGAGAGAGAGAGAGAGAGTGTGTGTGTGTGTGTGTGTGTGCTAGAAAACTTTTATAGCAAATGAATAAGTTTCAGCGTTTGTTTTGTTTTGGGCTGGAAACTGATGCATTATCGAGTGTATTTTGTAATCGCTAGAGCCTTACTTCCACACACGTGAAGACCTTTGACCTTGACCTCGCTTATATCAAGAGGTCGCTCGTTAGATGAATCCATAGTGACCTTGACCTTTCGTGCTGTAAATGTCTCATCACATGCTATGGTATGGGTGGCGAATTGGGTGAAACTCCCCGGGTAGTAGTGACAAATTCGCGTGACTTGTGCTGAGGGCAGGACTTCAGAAGTGAATTCAATTGTAAAGTTTCGGAATCGGCCAGCTGGAGAAGAGATAATGATGAAAGTTGAAGTATCTTTTTGATTATTGTTTTACATGGAGGTTGTTTTACTAGTGTTTGATATCATGAGCAAACTCCCATAGGAGTACGATGACACACAATCAGGCAAGTCTCCCAGCCAGTTTAATCGATTTTGGTTGATTCTTACGAGATGTGTAGGTATTTTGGAGCAATTTTAATATTGTAGGTGTGTCCAAAACCTAACCGAGTTATGTATCGACATCTTATGGAGGCCTCATTTCATTTGTAGGAAATTAATCTGTCCTTGAATAATAAACAACAGAAGGATACAAAATTAAACACTTGCTTCTTTGTATCATATTCATGTCAGCTGAAATGAACACAACAGTCTAATCATGCGAAATTAACTGCATCACATTTCCCATATATACTCTTCAAAAAAAGAAACGCAGTACGGATATGTTTGGCCATAAAAGCACAATTAGCGGACCAAGAGGTGCAAAATGAAGCGGTTTAATGTGTTATAGTGTCAGTGACAAATTTCCCGGATCAAAATGATCACAATAAGGACATGCAAAACAATTAGTCGGGAAACACGAACGATTCGGAAAATCGCACCCAGTGCATTAACATAAGGGCTATGGAGCTGCACGTACTGCACGTGCAGCAGCACTATGAACGATATTAAAGTGCAGGGTTTTTGATTGCCTGGCATCTGCGTCAATCGAACATTGACAGTTCAACAACATGCCAAGATTAACAGAAGTGCAAAGAAACAACGTCATAGGCCGCTTGCAGGCAGGGGAATCCCGATCAGCTGTAGCCAGGGTTTTCAATGTAGCACCCAGCACCATCACAAGGCTATGGGATCGGTTTCAACAGCATAGGTCAACACGTGATCGGCCAAGGTCGGGACGACCAAGAGTAACCACCCCCTCCCAAGATCGCTACATCCGAGTGCGCTACCTACGTACCTACGTGAAAGGACGACCATAGCCACCTCAACCGCATCCAAAACACCCGGACTGCGCAGAATCTCCGACCAGACCGTACGAAACCGTTTAAGAGCCGCAGGTCTACGAGCAAGACGTCCCGTTTGACGCGTCATATTGATTCGACAACATCGTTGACAACGACTGCATTGGTGTCGTCAACACAAGGAATGGCCTCAACTGCGATGTCTGGTTCAGCGACGAATCAACATTTCTCCTCCGTCGAGGGGATGGAAGAGCACAGGTCTACAGACGTCGGGGAGAACGTTACGCCGGAAACTGCGCACAGGAAGTGGACAGGTTTGGTGGGGGTAGTGTTGATGTGGGCGGCTATCTCTCATCATGGAAGGACAGGTTTCGTCCATATCCAGGGCAAACTTACGCTCAACGATACATCAACGAAATTCTATTACCACACGTCCTTCCAATTGCAGCCAACGACAACGGTGTATTCCAGCAGGACAACGCTCGACCGCATACAGCACGGATCACAAGAGCCTGTCTACACAACAACGTTGATGTTCTCCCCTGGCCCTCCAGATCCCTAGATTTGAACCCGATAGAGCACCTGTTGGATGAATTGGATAGAGGGCTACGCCGACGTCAACCACAACCCCAGACGTTGCAGTAGTTGGCTTTTGCGTTGCAGGCCGAGTGAGCTACCATTCTCCAGTGATATGTGATTCGCATACTCGTCTATTGATGGTCGCTGACCTTCACCTTGGACTTTTCCTATGTACCGATAACTGAGATGACTGCAATCACCAAATGTTCTTTCCACAACATTTTGGCTCAATAGCTTATACAGTTCCTCGTATAAATGTATACTCAACAACAAAAGTTCCTGTGACACCTTTTTTTTAGTGTATTTTTTAAACCAGTAAAGTTTGGTTTTCAATATTGTAGTACATGTATTGAATCAAGTCACAAAAACGCAACTGCTACAGAAAAGCATGCATTCCATGCAAAAGTTGACTTTTATGCAAGCCCCATGCATTTCAGTACCCAAGAATGGGTATAAAAACATGTGCGTTAACGGGATTCCATATGCATTGTTTAACATCGTGCTGACAACAACCACTCCGAAAAACAACAAAATTACACAATCATTCAACATTACGAAATGCCACGCCTTTCCGAAAATGAGCGTCTGCGAGCCATTGGTATGCTTGAAGCAGGATCGAGTCAACGTGATGTTGCTAGACAATTTAACGTCCACAGAAACACCATTTGGTGTTTATGGCAACGTTGGCAACAGACGAATGCAGTCAGAGACCATCCTCGGCACTAGTGACAGGCCACGCGTAACCAATAATCGACAAGACAACTGGATTCGAACAACACACCTACGAAATCGATTCCAGCCAGAAACAGTGACTGCAAGAAGCATCCCTGGCCTTCGACGAATATCTTCACAAACCGTACGTCGCCGCCTCAGATGTGCAGGGATTGTCGCCAGAAGACCCGCAAGACGTCCCATTTTGACAGGAAACCACCGTCAAGCACGTCTACAGTGGTGCAGACAGCGTCTACACTGGACGGCCATGCAGTGGGGACAAGTTCTATTCACTGACGAGTCTCGTTTTCACCTCAGCCACAGCGATGGACGGATTCGAGTGTACCGACGTCGAGGTGAACGTTACGTCAATCATTGTGTCATGGAAGAAGATCGGTTCGGGGGCGGCAGCGTTATGGTATGGGGTGGGATTACAGCAAGACAGACGACCCGTTTGATAGTGGTAGAGGGAAATCTCAATGGACAGCGCTACCGCGACGAGATCATCGGCCTTGTTGTTCTACCGTTTTTGCGTCGTCATGGCCCAGGCATTACCTTTCAACATGACAACGCCCGGCCTCATATTGCTCGACTTGTTCAGGATTCTCTTCAACAAAGTGAATGTCATCCCCTGGTCGGCTCGCTCACCTGATCTCTCCCAAACCGAGCACATGTGGGATGAGATGGATCGGCGCCTTCAACGTCAACCACGTGTTCAACAGACACTCCAGGAACTTCGAAACATGCTCCAGCAGATATGGACAGATATCCCACAGGCCTTTGTGTGACGCCTGGTCCATTTCATTAGACGAGGGTTTGTTGCTTGCATCGCAAAACAAGATGTGGACACACACGCTATTGATTTGTAAATTGACATTTTGGCATTTTTATGAAATCACGCATTTTCTGAAGTCAGTATGGCAAATTAAACCATTTGAACACTTACAAGAGTCTTTTATTTGTTGCAAACCGAAATTGTTACAGATTTGGTAAAAAACATTACTTTGCATTAAATCTTATTCAATGTCACAGGAACTTTTGTATATTTTCCTACCTCGCACAAATCTGGCTTTGCGTTTCCTTTTTTGAAGAGTATACTTACCACAACCTTTCTTGATGCCTACAACATCAGTCTATTCAGGTGAAACTATCACTCGTATTTCGCGATACCTACACAAATAGTGTCTTCAGGTGAAACTATCACTATTCCTTGATGCCTACAACATCAGTCTATTCAGGTGAAACTATCACTCGTATTTCGCGATACCTACACCAATAGTGTCTTCAGGTGAAACTATCACTATTTCTTGATGCCTACAACATTAGTCTATTCAGGTGAAACTATCACTCCCACGTTTTCGGGATACCAATGGTCCATTCTCGTGAAGGTATTCTGCATACTTACAACAACAATCTCTGCTGGTGATGGTGACACTGGGTATGGTGTAGGAGTTAAGGAGATCCACTTCCCACCAATGATAGGGGACTGCCACCACTGTGTCTGAGTGAAGAAATGTACTATTGTCTCCATCCACTGCAAGAGATGGTGGGTGGATCTCCCGGTAGGAGTCCTGACTGGCTGGCTTGTGAAGAGCCACGTTCGAGTAGGTGTAGACTGAAAACAGATAAATGAAGTGGATGAGTAAATTTGGTTTGACGCTTTGAAATGGCGCAGATCGTTCCCGTAAGGTGCTGGTAAAATACGTGATTGTAAAACTCTGCATTAAGCAATATTGCAGATATCAATCAATTTTGTCACAGGCCTATAATACATATGACAGAGGCGTTGTGCACACTTTAAACTATTATTTACAAATGTGGTTCTATATAACAGTGCGTGGTATATGTACATGACTGTTTAAAAATTGTCTGAATTTCACAATATTTGGATCAGTAATGTAGTATGCAGGAACGCATATTTTCTCACATAAGAGAACACCTCCTCCGTGGTCTTGAGGTAGAGCGTCCGCCCGGAGCGCGCAAGGTCCGGGGTTCGATCTCCGGCCGCGTCATACCGAAAGTTGTTAAAATATGGTACTTGTTGTTACCCTGGCACTCGGCATTAAGGGGCTAAAACAAGGACTGGTCGGCTCGGAGTCAGTATACTGTGTATGAGTGGAGTATTCATGTTAAACTGCGGCATGGTATCTCAGCATGGCATGGTAGGCTAGCACTATAAATCGGCATCCGTCCGGACTAGTACAAGCAGCCGCACGCACGCACGCACGCACGCACGTCGCTATATAAGTGCAATAATCTTGGACGCGACGTTTAACCCTATTTCACCTCACCTCACCTCACATAGGAGAACAATTGACATACAAGTAAAAATGTTTATTCATTCTCTATATCTTGGCGATTACACAGTTTGCATAATCGTTCTGACCTTTGAGTGTTTGTATATCGCCCACTCTCGATGCATAAATCATAGGATGAACATCGAAATCTTACCAGTGAATTACGTGTTTTCCTTGTATTTACATACAACAGATACTTTCAGTGTATATATGAGTTGTCAACATTCCATGATATGAAAATATCTTCTAACACTTTCTAATCATGTGGGATCCTAGAAGTGGGTAGGTGCCATAACTCTACACAACTCGTTTGGGTGCCTTAAACCACAATGTCACACCATCTCCCGCAATAACATGCAACTGTAAAATCAGTTGCATTTATAAGTTTTGGACAGTCTTTTATTGCATGCTTAAAATACAGTTGAATCGGAAAATGACTTGAACATAGTAAAGAAGAAGTAAAGTGTGGGAAACTGAATAGAAAGTTATTGTTATTCTTTTTAAAAAGAGTTTATTGCATTGTTATATTACGTCAACACCAGAGAATCACCGAAGCGGATTACATGTGGCAAAATAGTGGTAAAAACTAAATTCATGGATCACTAAAAATCAGTGATGAAAACTGGTATTCACGAATCTAATTTGAGAAAACTAGTATGTGGTAGGCTAGGCACCCTACCACAGTTCAGTGGATTTGCCTCCCTTCCACCAGTGTGTGGGTAATCGTAAACCGATCACGTGACGCACGTGACTGCATCAAGCCTCTTTCGCGTACACCAGCGAGCAGCCAAACACATATCTCAAAGGCAACATATTATGTATGATCTTAGGGTATTTCTTATCCGTACGTTCGGTAAGAAGGACGATGTCAATGGGCCAATTGGAAATGTCACGCCAGTCGAAGGACATTAAGTCAGTCGAAGAGTGGACAACAGCCTTTATCATATATGTCGGCATATACCGGGAGAAATTCTCCAAAAGCTGGAGCAAATGCTTAAATATTTGCAGACAATTAGATTGGCCGCCAGCAGAAACCAGGGTTGGCAAAATAATGAAAAGCAGTTTAGGTTGGGTAGATCCACAGACAAGGCATGGGGCCCAATCAACGTGGAATTGTGGATGCTGTACATGAATGTAACTCCTCAACCTGTGAACCGCACTTTCACTCCTTTCAAGCAGCCTGCACAATCTCTTAAAAGTTGTTTTTTTGCTTGGATTTCAATGACGCTTTCTTCATGTTTGTTAACAGTGTGGTGGGGGGCACCCATTCCCAAAGTGCCTATTAAACCAACCAGTTACAGGAAATCAACCAACCCCAGATGTTAATACATTTCAGTATCGCAACAGAAACTTCCCAAAACGTGCAAGCATTGGGCCACACACCTATCAAAGTAGATAAGCTATTAGCATACCTGGAGTCCTACCAATTCTTAACTGACGCCAATATTCTTCGTTGTGGTTTCACGGAAGGATTTCTTTTACATTACACAGGTCCCAGAGAGGCCAGTTTCGTGTGTAATAACCTAAAATCAGCTCAGGATCCCAACATGGAACAAACTGTACTTGAGAATCAATGAAGTACAATTAGGCCGAATGGCCGGTCCATATCATAACCTGAGGATCTCTCCTATTTGAATCATTCAAAAGAAAGAAGTAGATGGGTACCGCCTCATCCACCACTTATCGTATCCAGACGGTATGTCGGTGAATGATTTCGTCAGCCCTAGGCTTTGTTCAGTAACCTATTCATCCATTGACGATGCAATTTTGATGATTCAGCAGCTTGGACCGGGGCCTTAACTTAGCAAAGGCCGACATCAAAAGCGCTTTCCGGTTATGCATGGCGCACCCTCATGATTTTCCTTTATTAGAAATCTTGAAAACCTTCATCCAGTGGATAGTTCAAACAAAGTGAAATTCTCAAGATGAGTTAATGCATTACTTGGACGATTACCTATGCGGAGGATCTGGAAGAGATAAGTCTGAATGTCAGTTAGTCCTGTCAACAGTATGAGCAACTTGCGACCAACTCGGAATCCCAATAGCCAGTCACAAAACAGTATCACCAACCACATTAATCAGCTTCCATGGATTTCAGCAAGACACAGTCAGGATGGAGTTAACCAGCAGACAAAATACAGGATGCTTAAGATAAACTCAAACAGAACAACCAAACAGCAAGTCGACTGATTCGATTTGTGGTATTAAGATGCCTCATCATAAAGTTAGGATTACTAGGAATATGGAGGCGATTTTCAGATTTGGCTTTAATCCCTGGACAATCATAATGGAACGTCATTATTCCTGGATCAATGCTGGATTACCAATGACGCACTACATCTCTACACAGACAGTGCATCAGGAGAGTCATGTGGGTACTTTTATGGACGCTGGACGAACGGTTCATGGCCAGAACATTGGAGTACTTTAGGCCTAACACGAAACATCACACTGCTGGAATTCTTCCAAGTCAATGTTGCGGTTAACGTTTGGGCTGATGCCCTCAGTGGCAAAAAAGTTAATATTAAACTGTGATAACCAGGCAGTTGTTTCCATACTGAACAAGCAGTCAACTAAATGTAAGAATACTATACAGTTTGTAAGGCAGTTTGTCCTTCATTGTCTCAACATAAATTTATTAGTCAAAGGTCAGTATTTACCTAGTTTTGAAAAACAACATTGCAGATTCCTTATCTCGGTTTGATCTTCAAAAGTTTCGTCAGCTGAAACCAGAAGCCAGAACCAAACTGACACCAGTACCCAAGAATCTGTGGCTTATCTAAAATTGGAGGCCTTTGTTTTTAATTAAAGCATCAGTGTTAAGCAATACTCAACACAACTATGCAGCTGCATTAAGGTCATTTGACAAAACACCTCTGATTTGGCCACCGCCGCTAGAGGATATTTTATGTTACATAGCCAGTATGTCCTGAAAGGCCTTTGCAAGCTCAAATATAGCTCAGCATCTCTCAGCTCTTGGCAGACATCACAAAATTAGTAGCTGGTCTGATCCTACTGAAAAGGTTTTTAGTTCGCAAATGCATGCAGGTATACAGAAATACAGCAGCTCTGGTGTCGACACCTGACGCAAGACACCCAATCACAACTGACATGTTGAAGTGGCTGCCCAGTGCCCTCCAGGCTATTTATGCATCATGTTATGAATCTTGTTTATTTGCTGCCATGTTTAACTTGGCAATTTTTGCATTCCTAAGGATTGGTGAGATAGCGATAGTGTCCAAGATGAATAAGGACGTTAAGATTCGCTTTTCGAAGAATGATCAGCATGGCAAAGGCACAACTCTGATAATCCCAGCTAAGTCTGATCCTACTATTTGCCCAATTAGGTCATTAACCGCATATCTGTCTTTACGCTCAGCCCAACAAGGCCAGTTCTTCATCTATTTGAAAGGTAAAGCTGTCAGCAGATATCAGTTCTCCACAGTACTCCGGAAAGCCTCACAGTTCCTCAACATTCACTCAAAAACTACGACACACTCTCATTCAGGATTGGAGCCACTACATATGCAGCAACACAGGGAATACCACATGGACAGATGGAAAGCCGCTGCATACGCTAAGTACATTCACATCGATATGTTGTAACAACTCATTTTTTACAGAAATATGCATGGCTGGTCGGCTCCAACCGTATCAACTGGGGTCACCGGAGAGCAGTTGCAAAGCCAGTGGGATTGGACCTAGGTCTGCAGAAGTATGGACTACGCTTAACATGGTTCGGGAGAAGAGGAATGAAGTGGAAATCATTGTTGCCATTTCTACAACAAAAACTAAGGCGCAGTCCTCCACCAGCATGGCTCCTTCTTCATTTGGTAGGGATCGGGATCTTCATCACATGATACCCTACACTCAAGTCATATGGTCAGATGTTCTGCAGAGAGTCACGTGGCGGGGTATACAAGACGGCAGAGTGATGGAGCACAAGAGGAATAGATTTAATAGATTTGGTAGGAAAGGTGCACTAGACCTTGGCGGCCGTGTTCTCGGGCACAATGAAATTAACAAAGCAGACAGGGATTTGTTCATACAGGATGGCGTCTATCTGTCGGACATTGGCAAAGATATTTTCGTGAACTCATTGCAGGGGGTCTTGAGTTATTTGCTGGTTTGTCCGCGTCCGGGCGCTCATTTCAAAATTAGTGTCGCTTGTATTCAGGTCTCGTCCTTAATCCTCAGGGGAATGAGCTTTCTGAGCACAAAGCTCAGGTGGTCAGGCACGCTGACGTGGTTGATACATGTCACCGTATCCCAATTGCGTCGATCGATGCTCATGATGTCAATCACTGGATTGTCTGCTCCAGACTCGATTATTTATAGACCGCCGTCATATAGCTGAGAGCGGCGTTAACTAAAGGAAGACATTCACAAAGCGAATAACATTCTTCACAATGCATATGTTTTCATCTATTGTACCAATGTCGGGGTACAAGCTATTAATCATCGCCTAGCACTTCTTGGAAAGAGATAGTTGTTTAGATTGATAGTCCTCTCTTGATATTGGTGAATATATCTAACATGATTCACATATGTCTGTTGAATAATAAACTGTGTTGTGTTTGTAGCTACGTTGCAGACTGGATATAGAATGGATCATGAATTCAGTTCAAAGTATGTATCACGTCCCTGCTCAATTAAAAATACTGTAGTTTGTACTGTTTTCATATATGTATTCTAATGCCAAGTAAGATTATCTGCTTTGTGCAGATACAAACAAACACGGGTGGCAGAGGACGTCGTCTGCATGTTGTCTTTACAACGTATCGATTCTACACAAGATCAATGAAACCGTACCAGTTTGTACTGTTGATTTCTTAGGGGCTATTGCTATGCCCTTATATTTGAGCGTGACTCACTGGTGGAAAATAAGCATTCTCTATGTTGAGTGGCTTCAAGACATACATATTTCCTCTGAAAGGTTAAGACAAACAATTTGCTTTTAAACCACGACACATCCAGCATGCTCAGTGAATAACGTCTTAGTTTGGACCACTTATTAGTCAGGAACAGCCACGATCCCCAGCCTCCACCCTCAAAATACGAACTGGTCTGTCCCCGTAAAACATGAAAATAAAAATCACTTTTAAAAATAAATAACATCAGTGGCCAGATTTATTACTGAATTGTGGGTAATCACCTTATATAATCGTTTATGGTTTTGGGCAACAACCAATTAAAGCCCCTTAGTAACCGATGAAAAGTATTATATGTTTAATGAACTGAGATATGAAATGCTTCTATGATATTGTCACACAAATACTTTTACGTGTGTACGTTTACAATATGTACATACAGGTTAACATAATTTATAAGCATAAAGAATTATTAGTTAGAAATTCAATCACTAAAGTCATACCTTGTGGCCTTGCACAGTTGGCGCACTGACGTCACACACTGAAAGTACTAAAAGATAATTAACTGTCACAGATTGGCCTGTCTGTACTTTGTGACGGTGTCTGTCATTTGTAGTTAAGGATTGCTGATTGACACCCCAAGCGACATGCCACCTGTCATGCATGTTAAGTCACAGCTTCTTTATAGATAAATAAGCATAAAATTTAATGTCAATCAGTTAAAGTCAATTTATTCATGTCCATTCAAAGGAAATTGAAGTTTTGGAGCTCGATGGTCACATGTTGTCATTGTACAAAGGCATTGGAAACTTTTCATTGTCATGTCACATAAGGCCACAAGGTTGCGCTAAACTCAGTATCTCGTGTGACTGCCCCGGGCAGCAATCACGGCACTGCATCTCCTCGGCACTGACTGGATAAGTGTACGAATTATGTCCTGCGGAAGTCTGCGCCATTCTGCTTGTAACGCGTTGGCCAGTTGTGGGAGTGTCTGCGGCGTGTTCGACGTTGACGTACACGTCGATCGAATTCATCCCAGAGGTGTTCGATTGGGTTGAGATCTGGAGATCTCGACGGGCAGGGCAAATCGTTGATGTTGGTATCATGGAGGTAGCCTACCGTGACACGAGCTGTATGGGGTGGAGCGTTGTCCTGTTGAAACAGCTCCCTCTGGCGGTCAATAATTGGAAGAAGGTGAGGTTGAAGAATCTGATTCATGTAGCGATTTGCTGTCAAATTTCCCTGAACCACAACCAGGTCAGATCTCGTGGTGTAGGATATGGCCCCCACACCATGGCACCGAATTTGTCAATTTCACGTACACAATGTGGGACAAAACGCTCATTTCGACCACGATAAACACATTGTCCTCCATCTCGCCGGTGAAAAAGAAATCGTGAATCATCGCTAAACGACACTCGTCTCCAGTTTCTCAAATTCCTGCAAGTTTCTGTAAGGTATGGCACTAACGCAAGCGTCGCTGTCGATGGATCTGTTGCAAAACAGGGACGATAACTGGTCTTCTGGGTCGGATTCCAGCCTCGCAATGATGGTTCCTGACAAGCTGGTCCGATACCCTCCTCAAACCAAAGATGCGTCCTACAGTCGCCGTAGCTGTGCCATTGCGATGACGTTGGTGGAACAGTCGACTGTAGCGATCATGTGCAGGGGTGGTTACTCTTGGTCGGCCGGTTCTCGGACGGTCTGCAGTGGAATTGAACTGTGTGTATCCGGTCACAAAGGCGACATATGGTGATGTGGTGGGCGTTAAAGTGGCGTGCTACAGAAGACTGCGGTTCCCCTCTTCGGATACGTCCTATGGCGATGTTCCGATCGGCAGCGCTAAGCCTCAGCATTTTCGAATTTGAAAAATGTTGACAATTGAATGACAAATTATTGGCTTATGCTTGCCTTTTTATAGCCACTCCCACGAGTTACGAATGCCATAACTTGCACGTGCATTTTACTTTACTGTTTTTCTCCATGACATTTTTGAACAAGTGTGAAAACAATGCCGTTTAAGACATTGCAAATCGATAATGGCTGTGTTTTGACGCACCGTTTGTCGAATATCAGGCCACCAACATTTTCCAACAACATATATCCAATTAATATACAGTAAACTACGGTTATAACGAACACGCTTATAACGAACTGACGGTTATAACGAACTTACTTTTTGGTCCCGACTACTTGCTGTAGTCATGCTGTATATGTACATATAACGAACTACGGTTTTAACGAACTAAAATTAGTAGTCCCCTTGAGTTCGTTATAACCGTAGTTTACTGTACCCGATTTTATGTGTAGTCAGGTTTAATGAACTACATACTAACTGTGCGAGTGTATGTCTCATATGCGATCTCCTGTCGCAAGTTAGAAGGTGATTGTTACTCACTTAATAGTTATGCGTGACGATCCCATAACGATCAATTACGTGGTGACTGTGACGCACCAACACGTAACAATCACCTTTTTAACATTTGGTGGAGAGTCCTGATATCCTGGCATCTGTTGGTTAAATTCCACATTCGTTTTCATGTAACCATGTTCTTCACATTTTCAAATTTTCGTGAAGGGTTATATTGATGGATCACTGAATAACAGTGATGACACCGTGAGTTAGTGAACAGACATCAACCGAATGGCGAAAGGAAAGATGGGAGTAGTAAGTTTGTAAGAAAAGAAATCTCACTTTTTCATTCAAAAACATATGTTGTCTGCCGAATAATGAGATATTGTTATTTTTAAATTTCAAACGTATCTTTAGGGCTTCCATGACGCATTTAGGTTTGGGTCTAATTAATGTGTTGACGCATTAATGTCTTATTTGGCAACACCGTCTTCATTGCTCATGTAGGAACAAGGACGATAGAAAGAGTTGCTCTTTCAATAGCACAATTACTTTATATACTACAATAATCATATGTTCACTTATATCACATCACAATCATAACAAACTTTTTATGTTCAATAATATGATAACAATCATTTACGGTTCTGTGAAGTCACAGCACAATCATATAATGGTAAAAGATATCATAAAACAATCATTTACTCGTCAATGACATCATAACAATCCAATTTTTATTCAATAACATCATAACATAATAATGTTTATTTTTAAGGCAATTCCCTTTGACTATGACGCACATGAACACGACAATAGTATTGATGAAAACGGCCAAGGTTTTAAAATGTCCCTCTCCTAGTCATAAGGAAACCTTTTAGATGTGTTCATGTGAATGAGATCTAGACGTCGTTCACGTCAGGAGATGTAGAAAAAAAGATGTAATAAATCGGTATTTTTATTCATTTTAGCCACACTGATGTGTTTTCATGTCATAAGTCTCAAAATTGCAGTTGTGAGAACGAAAAAGGGCTAGTTCTCAGTTATTAAAACATGTCTTAAAACATTCATATCGATATTTTAAAGATTTCAAGTTAAAATTACCAAAGCGTTATTACTCTGTGGCCTACTCACCGTGTATCACATTGGTTGTACAGATGATCGCTTGGAGAAACCAGAAGATCACAGGCTCCATCTCTGTCTTCTTAACAGCAACCACGATCAACACTGTCGGGAAGAAGGGCAAGATGTAATGGAACATTTGATCGATTTCGCAAATTGGAACGGAAAACTGACATTTAGATTGTGTATTCCATATGCACTTAATGTCATGAACGATTTTCTCAAAGTACTTTAGTGTGTTTCATGATATGTAAGTTCTCTTTGTAAGTAGAAAGCCATTAATATCAGCCGACTCATACAAATACATTTGTTTTACTTAAATCACATCCCGTGAAGATTCCGAGTTAGAATTGGTCTTCAGCAACCGGTGCTTGACGTAAGAGGCGACTAACGGTACAAAGTTGATGCATGTCATCGTATTCAAATTGCCTAGATCGATGCTCATGATGTTAATAACTGGATTATCTGGGGAAAAAAACAAACGTTAAGCACAAACAACATTCACATCCCTTTCCAAAAAAGGTTTTAAGTATCAATACTTACACCGATTTGAAAGTATTTTTTCCAGGTGACAGCCTACCTTATTGATAGCAAGTTATATTCAAATTTGAGAAAAGAACTACACATACTCAGTAATCGTCACAAATTCTAATCCACTATATTAAGAAAATAATATATATTATTGGGTTGTCAGCGCCACATTGTACACTGGAAACAGTCCGTGTTTCCAATATCGGAACACATGGCATATTTTGGATAAGTATCGTTGAGTTGAACTGAACCGTCGTTGATCCGAATGCATTGGACAAAGGGAAATAAGCCCGTTCGTTTGCGTCGTACGCTACAAGTTTTTCTTACTCAGTAAAACTGAGGACACATATCCCGGACCCTTTTAAATGAATGTCGGTAAGATAAATTCGTTGTCAACCGATCCTTGACTGCTCGGGGTACACAGGCTCACACGCAGGTTGCATCACATCACAGGCCCCTCTATATCGGTTGACAATGTATCCCGCTTATAATTTACCCCGGGTGATACAATTTCAATTTCAACAATTTCAATATGATAGAAAACAGCTGTTCGATTGGTCTGAGGTTAACGCGTGCGGCTGTTTTGCTTTGAAGCCGGGTATATGGGATTTAGTCTTCCGCTCAGAAATCCACGTGCAGCGTGTCCTTTTCGTGGCGGGGTATAAGGGATTTATTCTACATCTGAGAAATTAATTTCCCACCTAAGGGGGTGGGGGATGGGGGTTGGGGGGATACATAGTATTTCATCAAGACCACGTGCACTAATCAGATCTCATCATTCTGACGATAGGTATTATAACATTATTTATAACTAAAATAACCACAGACAGAGCACGAGAGTGAGAGTGAGTACGCAACTGTGTTCAGCGATTTTGGTTATATTGATATACATATATGAATGGCATTCGCACATAAAAAAGATATGTGAATCGTGAATATCATGTCGTTTGGTACCAAATGAATGTCATTTTTGAAACCATCCAACTGCAGTAACAAGCGCAACAATAAAGAAAAGTAATACCCCATGAGAACCACGGAATGGATGCTTGCGTATGCTCTACATGGTATAGGCCTTAAAATGGCATGTAAGCGTTGTTGATTATCGGGTTGTCAGCACGCTGTCTGTTACCAGTTGTTCAGACCAACGAAGTCATGCAACGAAAAACTGAATCAGAAGCAGAACGGAACAACGTCGCCGGCGACTGGAAGCAAGATATTCACAGTCGGCAGTAGCCAGGGTGTTCACTGTGACGCAGAGCACCATCTCTAGAATGTTTTAACATACTCGGTGCAAGTGCGTGACAGATTAACGGCCCAACGCTATTATTCTAACAACCTGCAGCTACACGATGGCGTCCCATAATGAACCTGAGCGATATAAATACAACTCTAAATTGCAACCACAACCGCATTGGCCTCAAAATCGCCCGATTTTGGGACGAGTTGGGCTATACCACTGGCACTGAAACAGATTACACTTCATATCGAGAGGGCAAGCGTTTCCCATGTGTCATTTTCCGTGTAATGTCTTCATATTGGACACGTGTCGTTTTTGCAAGATGCCATAACCAATCGTCAAGTGTTCCGATTTTCAGGAAATGTGTGATACATCCCATTACAAAATCTGGTTATGCCTTTTTTTAGGATATATTTAATGCATCAGGCCAGAACGGATATATACCCTATTGTTATTGTTATGTTGTTTATGGGACCGCCTCCGTGGTCTTGTGGTAGAGCGTCCGCCCGGAGAGCGGAAGGTCCAGGGTTCGATCCCGGGCCGCGTCATACAAAAAGACGTTAAAAGATTGTACTTGCTGTTACCCTGTCTGGCGCTCGGCATTAAGGGGCTAAAACAAGCACTGGTCGGCTCGGAGTCAGTATACTGTGTCTGAGTGGGGTATCCATGTTAAACTGCGGCATGGTATCTCAGTGAGCTAGCACTATAAATCGGCATCAGTCCGGACTAGTACAAGCAGTCACACACACACATACACGTGCATGCACGTCGCTATATAAGTGCAATAATCTTGGACGCGACGTTAAACCCAATTTCACCTCTTCTCACCTATGTTGTTTATGAAATTGTTGACTCTGCAGCCTTCTGCATTATCCAGATTGTCAGAATGGCTGTATTCCTGATAGGAAACCAGGGTACCGCTCCCAATGGCAGTCAACAGATTGGGAGGTACCAAACATAAGGCATTGAGAACAATGGGGAGTCGGTGTCGTATTTGGGATGCAAGCGTGACATTTCGAAACCGAGGTCTGCATATTTGCATTTTTTTCCTGAATCTTGTCAATCACATTACTGTCAAAAGGGACAGAAAATCCAATGAAATAAATGATTTAGTTAAAAAGGACAAGATCAGGCTTGTTGGCCTGGATAGGTCTGAGGTTGTATACGGGCCTATTCCAAAGCCTGTTGTATGTATCATTTTCCATGATGCCCTCTACATATTCTGGGCCATACCATGGATGGACCTCTGTGTCAAAACCACAAACATGGCGAAGACGGTTATAAAAGAAGGATCGAGGATCTGTGTTTGTACAAAAACTGGGCATCCGCTGACAATGTGTTGGATAGTCTCATTAAATTCATTGCATAATCTACATTTCATATTTACATTTTGATACAAAATCACACATTGACGGTTTCGAGGGGGGAGTGACTGGTCCTGACCACCAAACAGAAAGCCTCCTGTTTCATTTGTCAGGCCAGCCGACTTCATCTATGCAAAGGACTCTGCAGGATTGCTGATCTTCTCAACACATCATTTTTCCAGGTGGAAAATGTGAAGTTTAATATGTATAAAGGACATATCCCATCCTTTTAATCATAACCTAATACATTGATTGAAATATCATTTTGTTTCTCAAACTTTGAATTCCTTGCGATGCAGTGTACAATTTCTGATAAACCTTCTGATTGTTAATCTCAGCTATATTCTCCCGATGCACCGGTCACACTTGTCAACTTGTATACTGTAGAACCTCTCAGACAGAGGTCGGTGACAGGATTCACACTCTTATACTCTCGATGCGCATAGCTCACAAACCAGTTTTCCTATAAGTAAGCATTTGTGTTTGTGATGACATTAGAAATTGCATTTTTCAATTCTAGCTGGTGGAGTGATGTTGCTCTAGTCCAGGCATTAATGTTTTGGTTCTGCATCATTGTTTTTTTTCTTTTCAAGGTCTGCTTACGGTTGGGTCGGTTCAAGGTTTTCCGTTTTGAGAAAGGTTGCAGACAGCTTTCACAGGAAATGCGCTTATTTCCAGGAACTGTTCATACGTGTCTCAATATGCCTTGTACAAGGCATATTGAGACACGTACGAACAGTTCATGGAGATTAGTCCGGTTATTAAAGGTTTATTTTTCATGAAGGTTCAACAAAATTGACGGAAAAGGTTTCTTAACGCATTTCACTGCCTTGATAGGCCTACTTTAAAAAAAAATAGTTTACCAAAATTTGACTTGGGGAAACACACAAAATAGGTCAAATCCAAGATGGCCGCTATCAATACAAACGAAAATCGAAAAAGAAAAAAAAAAAGAATAAATTTAAATCTAAACATGGATGATGACTCTATTTATAATCAACTTCATAGGATCAAGACAGGGGAATATATATTTAACAATTTTGAAGTGCAATCTTACACTGAAATAAATTACGGATGCCCGAAAAGTGAAAAAAAATGCAATTGTTCCATATCGGACTACAAAATACTTAACACAGGCTTATAAATAGGGAATAACCCTGCAATACTACAGTTTACGAGTCAAACTTACTATCAATTTAAATGTCTTAAGTTCAAGACAGTCTTTATATTCACACTCATATACTGGACATGAAGAGAGGATTATTAAGTAATGTCAGAAAAGACATGACTTGGTCCATTTGAACATGTCATCCCTTTGCATTGTCCACATGCTGAGGTACATTGTAGACAAAAACATTCTGCATGAGCATGCAATTGTATCTGATTATTTTCAACAGAAATTAAGGACTTCATAATGTGATGCAAATTGTCCAAAGGAATCGTTTCATCATCATTTTCTTCCAAGTAATCAATGGCAATCCCAAATGCTGTCATCTAGGACATACACTTCAGTCGACCAAGTCTCCGATTCTTTGGTTGAACCTCCTCATGTTCAATATAAGCTGCAGGTATACTAGTCCCTCTCCGAAAATTCTTATCAAAAGCATGGTGATGGATAGCTTCTTCAGCTGGTAGATCGTATATGGGCACGATACTTGACTGTACCATCTTGGTCCATTCATCTTGCCTGTTGACACAATATGTTACAAACATATGTTGAGTAACTTCCTGGAACTCAAGAGCCATCGCACGGCTGAAGTACACCTCTACATGGATGTTTGTATGCAACATCCTGGTCCATACAAGTACCACATAGAAAACAGTGAGTTTTAAAATTTAAGGCTTCAACATATGATCGAAGAGTTTTCAGCTACTTTGATTGCCTTTGGATTTATATGCATACTTCGACATTGTCTGTGTACCAACAGGCTACAGTTGTATATGATGTCAGGTGCATCTAATTTGTGCAGTCT